GGGGGGCGCACGGAAGCGATCCCCCCCCCCCCCCGGAGATCTCTTAATCCTGCGTGTGCTTCGTGACTTTCCGAGGACTCCGGCTATCCACTACGACTACTGGATGAAAAAAGAAAAAAAAAAAAAAAGAGAAGAAGAGAGAGAAAGAAGTATCGGGAAGTCCAGTCCAGTCTCTCTCTCTCTCTCTCTCTCTCTTTTAGGTTTGCAGACGCGTTCCCCTTGCAATTTACTAATACACTCGACGGTGTGTTTTTCGCGTATCTTCTTCCTTTTTTCCCCTCAATTTCTTTCCGGGGTGAAAGAAAAAAACACCGACATCATCGATCGAAACCGTGCGTACGCAGTATGCACGGCGAGTATAAAGATTGACGGTGGAACGCGTCGTACGCAACGACAACAGTGTACAAGAACGATTACGATTCTTTTAGCCAACAAGAGAAGGCTCCCGACGTTTCGAAACAAAGAGAGAGAGAGAGAGACAGCTCGCGAGGATAATGCAATTTAGAGACCGTTAATTGACCCGAGCGGCGCGAAGAACGAACCGCGCGCGAGATAGAGAGAGAGAGAGAGAGAGAGAGAGAGAGAGAGAGCTCGGTACCCGGACTGTTCCTCCAGTCTTCCAAGGATCTTCTCTCGCTAATGGATTCTCGCGAAGAAAGAGTCACACGGAACCGGGAGGAGAAAGAGAATCGGAACGAAACACACGATTCGCGAGCGGCGAATGACGAGTTGAGGCGACTGTTTCGTCTGTTATATGCGTGTGTGCGTGCGTGTATGTGCGTACGTGTGCGTGTGCGTGTGCGTGTGCGTCTTACCTTGGGCAACGACGCCAGGCATTGCTGCTTCACGTCCCAGACGAGCTGGTCCTTCGGGAACTGAAGACACTTGCTGACGTACAGTTCCGGGACGTGCACCCTCGCGAGTAGCACGCCCTCCTCCACCGGTCCGGCCTCCGCGGTCGCGGCTGCGACTGCGACCGCATCTTGATTCGGCTGACCTTGAGCCTGGCCTTGGGTCTGGCCGCTCTGCGGGCTCGTCGACTGAGTCCCAGTACCCGACGACGAATTTTGCTGCTGCTGTTGTTGCTGCTGTTGCGGTTGTTGTTGTTGTTGTTGTTGTTGCGACTGCGCTGGCTGTTGTTGCTGTTGCTTCGGTCCCGCCTCCATTGCGAGGACCTCGCGCTTCTCGAGGATTCCACCTTCACAGGCTCACATCTGAAACGAGAAGGAAAAGTGTGTTCTCTTCACTCTCCTTTCAACTCACCCCTCCCTCGCGCTTGTGTATGCAGAGAGTGTACACACACCCTGTATAATAAAATGAAAGATATTCCGCGAGGAGGAGATTAAAGTGGCGATGGGACGTTTACGACCACGAATAACGGGAAACGGGAGGCGAGATTACTGCGTCGTGACAATTTTTTAAGGCTCGTGAAGGATCCGTGATCCGAGTTGCCTTTGCGCGCGAATTGCGAATTCGCCACGATCATTCACCTTATTAATACTTTCACATCGGGCGTCACACACGCGTGCGTAATAATTGATTTTGGTTGTCGGAAAATATCAATGTAAATAAATGAATGAAAGTAAAATATTTGTTAAATGAAATGAGTAAAATATTTGTTGAATGAAAGTAAAAATTGTTAACGCTTAGAGCAACCGTATCAAAATAGTCTGCATGTATGAATCGCCATAATTCAAACGATAGCTAAAACATTTATACACTCCTGTTTCTGTTCCAAACAGAAATTAATGTTAATTTTGACGAGAACAGCCTTTTAAATTAATTCAAACGACAGTCGAAAATCAGTCGTATCGATTAGGGTTCGATTGTTGTGGCACATTAGTAAAATTACAATAGCTGAATATAGTGTGGCACGATTGGAAAAACTGTTATTTACAAAACTTACGTAGAAATAATATTTCCTACACGCGACTGTCGTTTCAAATTTCCCGCCGAGAAAGTGTCAACCAAATTCTTGAAGACGAACGTTCGATTGTTCGCGGTAAAATTGATGAAATTAAAATTAGTGAAATTTATACGGCACGATAACGAAAATTATTTGTTATAAACGTACGTGAAAATAAAACCTCTTACACGCGACGTTTCAAATTTCCCGCCGAAAAAATATTAACCAAATTCTTGAAAACGAACGTTCGATTATTCGCGGTAAAATTAAAATTG